AGAAAACAAATAGAGGCAGAGGGAGAAATCAAATTTCTCCTTGGAGGCTAGGATTTTCAAGCTGTCTCACATACATTGGGCACATGGCCAGGAAGAACCAGTCCTTGGAGACAGACATCATGCTTGGAAGGGTGAAGAAGAGGAAGACCCTGGATGAGATGGATTGATAAAGCAGCTGGAGTAATGGAGGTTGGTGTGTCAGAATCAGTGAGACTGGCTCAGGACAGGGTAGTCTTCAGAGCTGCTATACATAGGTTGCTATGAGTCACAGTTGCCTTGATGACACATAAGAACAACAATAAAAATGATTAAGGATGCATCACATATCTGAAAGTCTGTACTACTAAGAAATGATTTGCATAGCCTTAGGCATGTATATGCTTTTGTGTATGGTGTAAAGAATGGATTCTGTGTTTCTATTTATCTGTGTATGGAAATCCAAGTTTCTTAAGTACCATTTATTAAAGAGACTCTTTCCCCTCCATTTAACTAGCTTAGTAACCTAATAAGAAATAAGTGGATCAGAAATGTGTGAGTTTATTTATAAACTCTCAGTTCTATTTTATTGGTCTATGTGTCTATTTTTAAGCTACTACCAGGTTGTTTTGATTACTGTAGCTGTACAAACCTACTGCCATTGAGTCAGTTCCAACATATTAAGGAACTATAAGAAAGAATGGATTTCTGGGAGATTAGCGGCAAGGAATTGCACTGCCAACAACTCAGGAAAGACTGGAACTGCCCAAAGAGTTTCCAAATCTGCTTCATCTTTCTCCTAAAAAGTGATTGCTGTTGGACACTGTCAAGGAGAAACCAACCCAAAGCTGATGCTCCAGCAGATTTTCAGAATCAATAAATTACGTGGGAGGAGATTGCCCATCCTTCTCCTGTGGAGAATTGCATGGTGGATTTGAACTACATGCCTTTGGAATTGCAGCAGCTTCTTGCCACTAGGGCATGAAAGCTGCCCAACAAAGTGACTAGTAGGTTTGAATGGATGCTACTTCTGATGGCAGTCACACGTTTTAACCACTGAATCACCAGGGCTCTGTCATTGCACAGTGTGTATACTAAGTCAGAAAGTATGAGTCTTCCTACTTTGTTTTTCACCTTCAACATTGCTTTATTGTTTGGGTCTCTTCATTCCATATGAAAATGAGGATTGGTTTTCCCATTTCTAGAAGGAAGCTTTCTTTTAATCAGGATTGCATTGAATTTCTTTGAATAGCTTTACATATTAATATTAAGTCTTCTAATGCATGAACACAGAACATATGCCCATTTAAAAAAGTCTTCTTTAATCTCCGCTAGCAATGTTTCATGGTACTTCCTGAAATTTTCAGTGTTAATCAGGTCTTTTTGGTACAATGATTCTGTATATTCCCTCAATCTTCTTTTGATGCTATCTGAGTCATTCATTATATTGCCCATAGCATCTTTCAATATTGCAACTCGAGGTATAAATTTGAATTTGTTTTTCAATTCTCTCATCTTGAGAAATGCAGAGCAAGTTCTTCCCTTTTTATTCTCAAGCTCCAGCTCTCTGCACATGCCATTATAATCCTTTGCTTTGTCTGCTCAGACGCCCTTTGAAACCTTCTGTTCACCTCTTTTACTTTGGCATGTTTTCCCTTTGTGTTGACTTCTCAGTGTTCTCGTGCAATTTTCACAGTCTCTTCTGACATCCATTTTGGCTTTTTCTTTCTCCTCTGTCTTTGTAATGACCTTTTGCTTCGCTTCATGACTGCTATCATCCCACAATTCATTTGGTCATTGATTATTGGTGTTCAATGCTTCAAACCTATTCTTAAGATGATCTTGAAATTCAGGTGGAATAAATTAAAGATCAAATCTTGGTTCCTGTGGACTTACTTTAATTTTTTCCAGCCTCAATTTGAACTTGCATTGGGAAAGTCTGCAGTTATGGATTTCTCCAAATTAATAATCTCAATTTGAGGACTAAGGTGTGTCTAATCCAGGACATGGTTTTTCCATCACTTGTGATGTATCTGAGAGCTGGACAATGAATATGTGTTACAGAAGAAGAGTTGATGCCTTCGAGTTGTGCTATTGGAGAGAAGCACTGAACACCCCATAGACTGTCAAAAGAACAGATGTCTTGGAGAGGGCACAGCCAGAGTGTTCTTTGGAGGCAAGGATGATGAACATTCAGCTCACGTACTTCAGACATGTTGCTAGGAGGGGCTATTCCTTGGAGAGAGACATGATGCTTAGAAGGATAGATGGTACATGAAGGGAAGGAAGTGTGAAGATGGCACAGGCTCGGATAGGGTTTAGATCCTATTCATGGGGTTGCTATGAATTTGATTTGACAGTACCTAACAACAACCACAATCAAGCTTTCATAGCTTTCATTATATAAGTCCTTCATGTCCCTGGATAGATTACTAGGTATCTTATTCTCTTAGATGTTATTGTAAATAACATTGTTTCCCTTTTAGATTTCTCAGTGTTGATGTACAGAAACCCAACTGAAAATTTGTTGACTTTTTACACACAACTTTGCTAAATTACTTTAAAAGTTTTAGAAGTTTCATCAATATTTCATTTATTTATTTATTGGTAGGAAGTTGATAGGAAAGGTAATTTGTTGTAAGATTCAAATCTTTTGAGTCCACCTTTCCTTTTAATTTCACAAATGTGCTCCCTTTCTCTTCTTCTTTCTTCCACTAGACAAATCACCAATACAGCCAGCTATCATCCTGTCCCATTATCACCCCAGGGTCCTTTAATAGGACCCTCTACAATGATGCCCACATTCTTAGGCAGGGAATTTTAGTTGCCTGCCTTTGGCATCTCTCCAAAGTCCACCTGACTGCCCACCTTCCTGCTCTCTCTGTGCTCCTGTTCATCTGAGCCCTCACCAACAAGATCAACTCACTCATCAGATAGAATCCAAACAGGAAGCCCAGGTGGAGTCTCTCTCTTGCTGTGTCTTCATTCTTTGTATCTGTTGTTTACTTGTTACCTCCCCCACTATAGTCAAACCCTGTTGTTATAGCCCAGCATCCATTGCCCAGGATTTACAAAGTATTTCTCCTGTGTGTTTACTGTTAGGGATTTAATTGTGCCCCCTTCACCTGTACCTCACCCCCAATCTGTGTCAGTTTGGCTGGGCTATGATTTTCAGGTTTGGCAGTTACATAAAGATTTAATCATCCACATAACATGATCTGCTATAATTATCATCCATTTTGAGATGCATTGTAAATCCTACACTTTGCTGGTGGTTGAGGAGACAGGATTAGGTTGTGTTGAAGAGGATTAGGTGATTTTAGTAAGGATTAGGTTATATGTGTTACATAAAGAGGCAGGACATCCTTACTCAGGTCACAATCCGGATTGGGGGGAGAGGAATTTCTCTGGAGTGTGACCTGCATTATCTTTTATTTTCTAAAAGATGAAAGGAGAGGGAAGTAGCCTGTCACCAAGAAAGAACAGTTGACAGCACTGCACAGCCTTTAGACCCAGTGCCCATGTACTGAGAATCTCTTAGACATAAGGTAAGTAGGATTGATGTCTGGACACATTGTGCTAGGGAATGTTGGGCCACTGATGCTCAATGGAGATAAGGAGATAAAGACCTTCTATCAGAACAGGGAGGGGGAGGTGGGAGAGAGAGAGAGAGGCGCCAGCAACCCAAAGCGGGACTCTAAGCTTCCTAAACTATGAGAGACTAAATGTGTTTGTTAAAGTCATCCATTTGTTGTATTTATGTTACATCAACGGCAGATGAAGACAGACTTCACAATATGTGTGTTGTGGCAATGTTTTCTCATTGTACAAGGGAGAAAACTTAGGCTCACAAAGGTCAGGTGACGTGCGTGTTTGAAACCTTCAAGCTCAGCTCCCCTAGGTCCCCAGGAGGGAGAGAGAAAGCATGGAACTGAGACTCTGAAAGGCCCAGGTTGAATCTACGTGGCCACTGGGTGGGTAAAGAAACCCAGGCAAGCGCTTCACTTGCCTGTGTCTTTGCCCTCATCTGAGGAAAGGATAATAATTCCAACTCGACATTGTTTTGCGCCTAAAATAAAACTATGCCTGAGAAATGTCGAACAGTGCTTGGAGCGCAGCCGAAACTATAAATGTGAGTTTCCTTCTGATTCAAAGCTTGGCGAGCTGCTACTCTTTCTACAACAGCTCCTCTTTCTTTGAGCTCCCAAAGCCACTGGGGCTGCCAACTGTGGAGCTCCTGAGCCGTTGACGCGATAGCTGCACCGGGTACCAGCCATCCTTAAGGGAACTTGGGGACACGACAGGCAGAATTTGAAAAGGACAGTGGGGAGGGTGCCGAAAGACTAGAAAGCAGTGGAATGAAAAGGTTTATCTTAGTCCACAGCGGGGAAAGCAGATGCGCCATCCTCATGGCGAGGGAACAAGAGCGTCGCTAAGACGTCAGTCTCCCCCCAGTGTCCCGTGCTCCTTCCCCACTTCCCTGGCCCCTTTGCTCCAGCTGGTCTCCAGGGCCTGGAGGAGGGAGAAGGCGACAGATGGCAGCTCCAGGAGAGAGCGGGCACACCCCGCCCCTCTGCGCCCCTCCCCCAGCGGAGCCAGCGGGCATGCGCACAGCACGGGCGCTGGAGGCAGGGCCCGGCGCGCGCTCGGACTTCGCTGCAGGAGCCGCAGGCAGACGCCGGGGGCGCGGCCAGGCGGCGTGGGAGCGGTGTGGGGAGCGCTGTCAACCAGGCCCGCGACGCTGGCGGAGCCGGGCATGGCCCTGGTGGCGAGATCCGCGAGTCTTTAACGCGCCGTCTAAGGGATGAGAGCAGCAGGACCTGAGCTGCGGTGACTCGAGCCAAGGAAGAGCGAGGCGGGGGCGGCGGCGAGTCCCGGGGGACCCTCGGCCCGGGGGTCCGGGTGAGGACGGCGGCGGCGGTGCGGGGGCTGGGCGAAGAAGTGATGCGAACGCGCCCAGGGAAGTTGTCCACCGCCTGGAGCTTCTGCCGCCGGCGCCGCTGTGCACGGCCTGGCGCGCGACCATGGAGGCTCTGAACGGCCCAGCGGGCGCCCCGGACGCCAAGCCGCAGCTGTCCAGCCAGCTCCGCCGCCACCACTACCTCCACCCGCTGGCCGAGAGGAAGCGACTGCACCGCGCACCCTCTCCCGCCAGACCCTTCCTCCAGGACCTGCTCACGCAGCCCGCGGCGTCTGGCCCGGCTGCCTCTTCCGCAGCCAGGGGCCCGCCTGTCGCCTCACGCTCGCCCAGCCTCGCGGGCAGGGCGCCGTCCTCGCCCGGGTCTCTGGCCGCGCCTGGCCGCCTCTCCCAGCGCGGTGGTGGCGCCCCCACAGCGAAAGACAAGCCGTCCGCGGGTGCTGGGGCCAGGGCGCTGGGGGGCACCAAGGCCACCCCCGGTCTTCGGAGAGTTGCGCACGCGGCACTCCCCGAGACGCTGCCCCGGGCCGGGAAGCCGCCGCCGCTAGGAGCCGAGCCGCCACCCGCAGCCGCGAAGGGCCGCAAAGCCCGGCGCGGATCTGGGCTCACCGGCACGCCCCCGGCCCGCATCCTCGGGCCACCAGGGCCCAGCGCCCGGCGCTCCGCGGTGACACTCGCGGTGACCTCGGCGACCACTGCCGGCTCGCGCATCAGTCCCACCGACAGTAGCTCCGATCTCTCCGATTGCCCCTCCGAGCCCTTGTCCGACGAGCAGCGCCCGCTCCCCGCCGCCAGCAGTGACGCCGAGTCGGGCACCGGCTCCAGTGACCGGGAGCCCCTGCGGGCAGCCCTCGCGCTGAGCCCGGCGTTCCGGGGCGGCCCCGCGTCCGCAGCAGCTGGCGCCTGGCCTGGGGGCCGCAGTAGCCCTGGCGGGGTTTCCGCGGGGTCTGCCGGGTCTGGCGCGCCTTTGGAGCGGGGGACCCCCTGGAGGGCCGACGGAAACGATGGGACCCCGAAGGAGCCCGGACGGGACGAGCCTTCCCAGCTGCTGCCGGCGGCGACAGAGGAGCTGCTGCGGGAGGTGGAGGAGCTGCGCTCGGAGAACGACTATCTGAAGGTGGGTGCCGCCCGGGACCAGCGCCGCGGGCTCCCGTGCCACTGTGCCTCCCACCGCCCAGCCCTTCTCCCTGCCCTTGCCGGCTAAACTCGTACCCGAACTTCCAAAGTCTCTGAGCCCTGGGGTCGTGGGGGCGGCTAGTGCGCGTGAACGCAGCTCTGTTTCTAGGAGTTTGGAGCCCACTTAGGTCCCTCAAGTCTTCAGACACACACACACCCCACTGCATGTTCTGCCCTGTGGGCAGGGTTCCCCTCATGAAGGAGTGAAAATGTACAATATCTGAAGGGGACTGGGCGGCACAGAAAGAACCCCACCGCTTTCCATGATAATCCTTGAGCCCTGAGGCTCCTTGGCTGATCTACTGGCAGGTCTTCTGTGAGCGTCCTCCTAGTGGGCTTTTCAGTTGAGGCCCATTCCTTCCCATGCAAACCACCTTCCAGGGAATGAAGCTTGCCGCCCTGTCTGCGGCCTTCCCAGCCTGGCCCTCTGGTCTGGTGATGATCTTCTAGAGGTGGGAGCGTTAAGCGTTTGACCAACTCCATCTTTTCTCAGTGAGGCTGTTGGGGCTGCAGCACAGAGGGTTGGATAGAGGCGTGCCTAGGGAGGCCAGGTGTTTTGAGAGATGGTGGTGGACATTTTGATGCTACGTTGAGTACAACTACTTGAATATGCCATGATCCACAGAGTTGTACATCATGTTCATGAAAGCTGTTGCGATCTTGTTGAATATCCTCCCAAACCAGGGGAGGTGCACACCCCCACCAGTGGGTTATTTGATTTGCACTGTTGTGGCCCTGGCCCACCACATGGGTTTTTAAGGTGGATGGTGGTGGAGAGTGGAGTCAGCA